GCATTCCTGTCTACAAAATATTATATAGACAAATCCCCTCCCTTCTTTGGCAAATCAGATAATCCATCCATCTTTCAGTTTCCTAATTAATTATATTTCCTTTCTACTACTTTTTATCTACTGTCTTTGTTTAGATTAAATATTCCTGGAAAGAGAACTACTTCTCATTATCTTCCTGTTTCCTCTGCTTAATGCAATGGGCTTGTAACTCGCTGGAGTTTTTAGGTGCTATCATGCTATCTCTGGAATCTGAAATTACTGTAAGGGTGGTGAGACACTGGAACAGGTTGCCCAGAGAGGCTGTGGATGCCCCCTCCCTGTCATTTTTCAAGGCTAGGTTGGATGGGGCTGGTCTAGTGGAAGGTGTCCCTGCCCATGGCAGAGAGATTGGAACCAGATGATGTTTAAGGTCCTTTCCAACACAAACCTTGCTATGATTTATGATTTATCTGTATGTTTCCAGCTTTATTATAGGGCTGTGACTATACCAAAGGTGAAGAACAGTCTGGGAATGTCATCAGCTCGGAGCATCATAACCTGTACCTTTTGGTGCATGGTGCTGGGAGTAACACAGTTCAGAACACTCCAGCAATACCACAGCAGAGAATAAACGTGGGCTGTGCAGGATGATCACACGCAGTGCTACTCCAGCAACACCTCATGAAACAAGGCTTGGAGCCATGGGTAGGCACTCACAGGTTTGTGCACACCACAGCAATGAAGTCTGAGCTGAGGCATCTTGTTAGCATGTACCTGGGAGTTTATATGGGCAGCTGGGCTGGGATGGCTCTAAAAGGAGCCTTGAACTCATGATTAGCCACTCAGAGACTGCCCAGCACTAAACTCCTCATCCAAATGTGTCACTTCTGTTGTCAGTTTTCCAAAACACAAATACGTAGATGATAGAACAGAAACATGTTCTTTCACCAAGAAAGCGTTCCAACTGGCAACGCTTCATTTCTTGGATCTATTTAAAAACAATTAGTGTACTTAGGGGCACCGATCCAAGAAAACACTTAACGGGAGCTGGGAGGCTCGGTGCCGTTGTCGGTAGGGGTGGTGCTGCGGTGGTGGC